CCACCGCCCGTCAGCGCAGATGCGGGGTGTGGTTGGGATGCCGCCTTACGTCCAGATGTGTATTTCCAGGCCAAAGCTTCGCCTGTGGCTGACTCGCGGTTGCGCCTGAAATGTGTAGTGCGCAATGGCTCCCAGAAAAAAGGATGAACTGATTCCTTGTCCGTTGCGTTTCTGCTTTGCGGTCGGGCGATCGCGAGTGCAGGTGGTGGCGGACCTTGCTCTCGGTAGCAAAATGCGCTCTGCATCTGTGGGGGCGCGTTCCCAGAACTTGGGGCCATTTTCGTGCACGCCGCGAGGGCAGTGCTTAAGGGGGGAAATTCTACGCACCTTTGTGGGGGCCTTAGCGCCGGATGCCGATGTTTTGCAATTGTATGCTTGAAGCTGTTGACTCAGGAGTTTCATTTACACTTCCCAGGCTGTAGAAAATGCGGTGCAGACGAGGAGCCCCCGCGCCATCAGAGTTGCAGGTTTTGCTTGCGTCAGGGGTGGGTGGGTAGGGTGGGGCTGTGGTTTTGCCCAAATTCAATCGCCGAAGCAATGTTTTGGGGAGGGTCGGCACGCCGGTGCTTCACAAGGCTCGCTATTGCATTCAGTGTACTACTGCTATCCCGCAGAGGTGGTGGGCATTGACGTGGTGGTTTCGGGGACTGGTGGTGGCTTAACAGCTTGAATTATTCTATAGAGCCGGGACGTGTGCCGGATGTGGTTTGTCTGTCTCTTTATTCTTTTTCTGGGTGGGCCTTGCTCCGGCAGGAGAAGGAGCTCCGCGCTCTAATGGCGTGTTTTTTTTATCTTAGTCTCTGGAGGTCAGTTGGTGTGGATATGTAGCTGTTGTTATGGATGTTTTTTTTTTGTATTGTTACGGGGGTTATTTTGGTTTTGCGCCGTCGCTGTGGCGTGATGCCCAGCCACAGTTAAGCCCTTGTTTTTGATGTACCGCACCGGTGCATAACTGGGTGTGGTGTAAGACACTAGTAGGTGTATTTTTTTGGGGTTTTGTGGGGCCTGGGTTCCTTGCCGTGTGGAGATTGCCGGCCCTCTTTCGGTGATGAAAATTGCTCTCTGGATCTTTGTTTTTGAGACTTGCACTTCTTTTTTATGTGTTTTTTAAATTTTGTTGTGGATATTTGCTTAGCAGAGCTCCCTTTTGTACTGCCTATATTCTAAACTCTCTGGCCGAGTCAAAGTGTGTGGGATATATTTTAGAGAAGGTGCACTTATGCTAACGGTTTGTGTGTTTCATGACCACGTCTCTTGTTTACCCCGCAGAGGTTTTTTATGGTGATTCTCGACGAGTGTGGAGGATGGGCTGCCCGTGTTTTTCTTTTGTATATGTGTTTCTGTGATCATGGGAGGGGTCTCGGACATTTTTTTTTTGAGGATAAAGTTAGCTAATTGTGATTATTTATTTATTTTCAGACATGTCACAGGGAGTTGCCATTGTGTTTGTATGTCTAGCTGTGCGAAGTTACTGATCCCATTTTTTGTTTTACTTTTAAGGCTTATTCCTCCGTTTTAATGAGGCTGCTCTTTTGAAAGAGTCTTTGTTTGATTATAAGTGGTCATTCTCTTTTATTTGCTGTTTATGACGTCAATTCAAGAGTCCGACTTTTTAGTGGGCGATGTTCACTGCTACTCCTCACCGCCCTAATTGAATTTTGTTCCTGCCCATAACGAAGGTTGCCCCTTATTTTTGTTGTTTATTTTCTCAATCTCCTGTACGTGTTTGTGTGTGCCCGTTTACAGGGAATTACTCCGGAGCATGTTAAGCGCCTTTTTTTTTGTTTTGAACTCTTTTTTTTTTCCTAACTTTTTTTTTTGGTAGGAGAAATGCTCACCATGTCTGATGAGCGTCTGGAATTTATGCGAAGTCTCGGTATCACTGAGGAGGATGTACTGGATCCTTCACTGGTAACAGAAGAAACTGGGAAAAAAAAAGGTTTTACTGAAACTCGCCTGGGGGCTAACATGGTCCGTGAGCCACCTCTAAATGTCGATTGTGTCAAGACGACTAGAGCGGTATTTCCGATCGCTGAGCCAGCCGAATTCAAACCAAAACTGTTAAAAAAGGAGAGGACACCACAAAGTAAGGGAAATGATGGAATACGTACCACTGGTCTTTCACCTGAGCAGCTGAAGGTTGATGGAAACCGGGCATTTGAGGATGGACACTACCGTGAAGCACTGAACTACTACACGGATGCCATAGAGTGTCTCCTTGATTCATGTAACTACGACTTGAAGGAGAAAGGTCATCTAAATACGAAAGGTAATGATATCATCGGAGCTGGATTTGGTGTGTGTGACTCGAGGATTATTTTGCTTGCAGCTTTGTTCAGTAATCGATCAGCCTGTTATCTTCAGGCTGCAAAACAAATAGGAGCAGCTGAAGCCCTTGAAAGTGCTATACGAGATGCAGATCGCGCGGTTGAGCTTCGCCCAACGTGGTTTAAAGGTTATTCTCGACAAGGTGATGCTTTTTTCAAAATGAAGAAATACCACCAAGCAACCGAGGCGTATGAGATGGCATTGCAGTTCGAGCCCGGAAACAATAATCTTATTCAGTCAGTGAAAGAGGCTAGGCAGCGTGGCGCTGCAAAGGCTCGGGAGAGTGTACAACACTCCAAAAAACAAGCCACAGTGAGATGCGGGGAGCGGAATGCTGCACCTGTTACGTTTGTTTCGGTGGCTGTCCCTGCATCTGCTCAGGTTTCTTCTAACAGTGCTTCTACGGGAATGAGTGATAGTGGCCAGTACAAAACTTCTGCGCGTCAACTTTGGAATGAGTTCAAGTCAGAGGTTGAAGCTTCTGTTCACCAGCCTACTGGGGATGACTACCGACGAGAACAATTACGGTTATTTCGAGAGCAGAAAGAGCGTGAGAGGAGTGGAGTTGCATTATCCTTTTCTTCTGAGAATCGAAGCAGCGAAGAATTGTTTCGGAAGGAAACTGAGACAGAACCGAAACTTTCTGGAGGTAATGGTCCGACAACCAACGCACCTCATAGGAGAGGAAGGAATGAGAGCATTCCGCCGGAGTTTTCATCAGATGTTGCTGTGGCATACCAACAGCGTCTTCTTGAGGAGTATAGGCGGAGAAAATTACAACGAATGGAAGCTTTCATTAACGCTGTATTCAATGTACCAAATATGCTAAACTAGTATTGAAGAAAAACTACAAGTACAACAAACGTATCTTTTTTTTTTGATCCCCTTTTTTTGAAAAAAAAACCCGGAGGGTATACAATGTGATGAAGGGGGAGGGCATGTGCGCGATACTGGTTATGAGAAATGGGGGCATGCAAAGGCTGTTGCAGTGGTGTTTGCCTTTCATTTCGAGTGTGCTTTTTCTTGTTATCTGTAACTAATACTTTTTTTTTTGTATTTGCTTTGATAATTTTGATGTTATTGTTGTTGTTGTCTTTTTGTTCTAGTTTCCAGTTTGTAGGGTAGTCCAAATGGCAACGGCCTACTTGCCTTACTACGAGTGTATCAGGCGCACACTACACGCGGCCTTATGCATAGGGAATTATCCTTCACGTACTGTGGAGCGCCACAATAAACCGGAAATTGAGGTTGCAGATCGCATTGCGCATACTGGTGAGGGAAATGTGCAAGAGCTTCTTAACCCCATACGCATTGCGCGATCAGAGCAGGAGAGTTGCCTTATCGAACCTAGTATAAATAGTACGCGCATCTCCGTATCGTTTCTTAAGGGTGACGCTATTGCAGAGCTTATTGCCCGAAAATATGTTGGATTTTTAGCTCAACGAGCCAAGCAGTTTCACATATTGAGGAAAAAGCCTATTCCAGGGTACGACATAAGCTTTTTAATCACCCACGAAGAAGTGGAAACCATGCATCGAAGTAAGATTATTCAATTTGTAATTGCGTTCTTGATGGATATTGATGCTGACATCGCTGCAATGAAATTAAATGTGAATCAACGCGCCCGTAGGGCAGCGATGGAATTTTTTCTTGCATTAAACTTCACCTGAGTTGTGCCGTATTTCTTCTCTTTCCCTTCAAAATGCGTTTCTCTGACGTGCATCTGAACTTATTTTAATGTACGATCGTGAGCTTCAACGCCATATATACTCTTATATGAGTGTTTTTCTTTGCGAATATTGGGGCAGTGGGGAAGTGTTGAACTAGTGCATAGTGTATACGTGTGTGTGCGCCGGCAAGCAATAGGCCAAGAAGAGCGCAATGCTGTCAGTGCGAAGAGTAACAGAGGTATCAACTTCATCAACATGTAACTGTCTTCTTTCGGTTGACTCTACAAAATATGAAGCTCAACTGGAGGTTATTGCCGGATGTTACGAACATCTGGGACCTTCTCATGAATCCATTCACGCAAAATACCGTGGTTTTGTCACTGGTTACGTGTGCGAAGGTGGTGATGAACTTGGATTCTCGTTGCGTGAGAGGAGCTTGGCACTAGACACGGTTGCGCCCGTGGAATTGCCCGGCATTTTTGATCTCACAGCTTATTATGACGGAGCTCGCGTGATGGCGAGTTGCACGGACGGCAGTGTGCGTATCCTGGGGCTTCAAGAACGATCTTTTAGCGACATCGTTTTCCCCGTGCACAGCACGATGGTGACGAGTTGTAGTCCTTTCTACTCTGCCTCTGAGCTTGGAATGAACGAGGCCAAGTGGCTCTGCACTGCGCATCAGGGTGCTGTTGTGGTCTATGATCCAGTCACAAAGACTGTTATTAGTGCTTTAGAAAAACATGATTACGATGCGTGGTGCTCCGCTACCATTGGTCCTGAGACGGCACTCTCGGGTGGCGATGATGGCTTTCTAAAGTGGCGGGATTTGCGATGTGGTGTTAATGCTGTGGGTCGAATTCAGTTTGGGGCTGGAGTCGTGTCTGTTGCACCTGTTGCTGAGGGTGGAGTTGCATCCAACTATGTCTTGGTTGGATCCTACGACGAAAATTTGTACTTGGTAGATGCACGATTACAAAAACGACCGGTCACTTCCATCGGGTTGGGTGGCGGGGTTTGGCGCTGCTCGCGTCAGCTGTCTAGCGAAGGCCTGCCGCCAGAGTCAGCGTCCGCGATGCACTACTACCGCTGGGTACAACCGCGCAATACCCTCGTTCTTCCAGTCATGCAACGTGGAGTGGCATTTGCAAGGTACAACGTCACTGCCCCTGAAGAAAACGTCTTCTCTCTTCTAGGACATCTGCATGATGAAGCAAGCACCTCGGAGGTTGCTGGGTTGCTTCCCAACGCTCTCTTCTACGACTGTACCTTTCTTTCTCAAAGACCCCGCCCCAGCGGGGCGGTGCCAGACGCCACCGCGTCGGTAGTTACTTGTGACTTTTACAATAAGAGGATTGCGTTGTGGGAGGTGTCCGGGATCTACTGCGATGCCTAATGCTGTAACCAGAGACAACCGGGGCAACGTGAAAAGAGAGGGAGTTCAACTTCATAAAAAATAGAGTCAAGAAAAATAGGAAGAAGAAAACTCCAGAATAATGATAATAATACCAATAATGAGGGAAACCCAGGGGATTGAGTGCGTGGTATACCTCTTCCTCTTCCTCTGTGTCAAGGTGGCAGAACCAAGTTTGGGAAGGGGATGTCGAGAGATTTGGATGATGAGTTTCTTTTTTTCTTTTTTCCTTCTGCGAACTTGTGAGTGAAATAGCCGTGCCACATGAGTAAATGCCAAAAGAAAAAGACGAAGTAAAAACGATAGATTTAATAATCCTTATAGATATTTTCTTTTGTTTTCTCAACTTAAAACTGAGGGGCCAATGCAAAGAGTAAGTTTGGAAGGGTTATCCAACCTAACCTGCCTCTTCCTCCCCAGATGGAGGGCAGGTTATAAGTCGTCTTCGGCACCTTCATTGTTTTTTTTTGTAATGGTTCTTGCTGTCAGTATTTTAGATGTCATACACAAAGTGAGGAGGGGGAGGGGCCGCCTCCGATGTGCTTTCTCTTTCTCTCTTGCTACGGTCCATTGCATGATCAATAACATGCATCTGGTTGTAGATACGACGCAGAAGAGCATGCGTGCTGCTCTCGTTCTCGGCTGCATCTTTCTATTATTAAGGAAGCGTAAGGCGTAGACAGCTCGTTTTTTTTTTTTTCACCCAAGGACCGGGGACACGTTGAGGGCATTATAAGTGTGGGGAGGGGGGGCATTTGGGGCACAGGCGGGGACATGTCTGACGCCTCACGGCAAGCAGGAGCGACGAGCCGGCTTTTTGTTTTAAGTGTATGTGTGCTGGTGTTTCACGTCTTGACGTCGTTGGCGCAGGAAGCGGTCTTCTACCTTCCTGGCTTTCACCACACACTGTTGCTTACCTGCGCACAGGCATCATGCGTAGCTTGCTTTGCTTTTGTCACACTCTACCGCTCCTTGCCCGTTCCCTCCATGTCACCATGGCGGCGAATTGTGGACGCGCGCCGCGTGCCAGTGCGCACCTACCTTATGATTGCGCTGATGAACACGATAAGCGTGTACCTGTCTAACGAATCGTCGCGCCTTCTTAGTTTTAGTACACAAGTCGTCTTCAAGTCGGGCAAGCTGCTTGTTGTCTGGCTTGTGCGCTACATTGCCATTGAACTACCAGCACATCTTAGGGCAACACGGACGCCGTGGAAAAGTGCCAAGGGTGGTAGGGTGAAGGGGCAGCAGCACCATTCACCTACCGGGGTTCCTTTGGTTGACGTACCGTATGGGTGCGCCTCTGTGACCATCGCGGATGCGGTGGTGGAGGGGCGGATGTCGTCCAAGCTTATTTCGGTGTCTGCTCATGATCGAGGTGGTCCCAGCACCACGTGTAATGTTACTGCCACGACTGTTGGTGGCAAGAGTGAGAGCGACACCTTTGTGCACGGGGCGGTGTCGATGGATCGCTCCCAGGCGTTGAAGGAGGTGACATCCTGCATCGCCGTTGTTGTGGGCCTCGTTGTCTTCACTTACGCGACGACGGATACCCGCACGACGAAGGGTGCAAAGATGCAGGAAAGCTGGTGGCGGCTCATTTCAGGCGTCACAGGCCTTTTGGTTGCGCTACTGTGCGACGCCCTCATGTACCTCGGCGAGGAGAAGTACTGCTTCATGCGGCATAACGCATCACACGAGGAGGTGCAGTTTTATGTCTTTTTCTTCTCAGCGGTAATTGGCTTTATTTTACTCGTTTTCAGCGGGGACCTTCGTGACGCGATAGATTTTGTGGGCAGAGGCCGCACCTTCATCACTCTGCTGCTTGCCTGCTCCTTCTTTAGCTACAGTGGAACCTTCTTCCTCCTGCGTATCGTCTCGGAGTTTAATAGCAGCACCGCCACCATAGTCACCAGCGTTCGCAGGTCGCTGACGGTGCTGTGCAGCTACGTTGTTTACCCAAAACCGTTTGGTTTCCTCCACCTCGTTGGTGTAACCTTCGTGATGGGCGGCGTATGGCAGTACGAGCAGGCGCGGAGGAGGCGCAGCACACCGGCGACGAGGATGTTAGACGACGCCGTACTGGTGGAGGAGGAGGCGTGTATGTAGCGCAGCGGCAGCCACCTCACTGCTATTGTGGCTTGTCCAATCTGCCTTGCCTTCTTTACGGTACCGCGGGTACCCCCGTGCAAGTATGCACTGCGGTAAATACTTGACGTCAGTAGCTGCATGTATTGCGTACACATAGCTTTAAAAACCGCAGTACCAAAACCAAAGCCAAAAGAAAAAAAATAAATAAGAACAACAAAGAAGTCCTGAGGCAACCAGAATTTTCTGCCACCGGTTTTATTCCATCGGGAGGTGGGTGGGTTGGTCAACATCATTTTCCTTCACCTCCTCTAACGAAAGTGGTGCAGTGGTGGTTTCTCCCCGGGCCACCATTACGTTTTTTTCTTTTTTTTTTTCTTTTTTATTCTCCTTTTCTCCTCCTCTTCTCCCTGGATGCATCGTGCCCCTTGTCCTTAGGGGCTAACCGTAGGGTATAGGTAGGCGTAGCATATATAACTTAAACAGCTGGGGGGTGGGGGGCGTTGCTCGTGGGGACCGCTTGTTGCTGCCAACGTAGTCAGCATCATGCCCGTAGCGACTGCGCCGTCGCTACCCAACCTTGCGGCACCCCCTGTCGGAAGGCTAGATATTAACGCCCCAGCGGCGACAGAGAATGAGGCGGCCGCCACACCAGACGTCGCTCCAACGACGCCTCCTACTAGCACGGAGGGTGCTAGTGCGGCGGCGGCGGCGGCGGCGGCGGCGTCTCCAGCCGTGGGAAACGGTGACAGCGGCGTCGCTGTGGCTCGCGAGGAGCGTGAGCGGCAAGTGAAGCTTGGGCTTTTGGTCGTGCGGCTCGGCGGCGCAAAGGAGAAGAACGTCTTTGGGGCCCGTGGCTTGACGGTGCCGCCGCGTGACCTCCTCGTCATTCACCGTCCAGAGGATGACGCGGTGGCGCGGCGACCCTTCAAGTGGTACGACCCGATCTCGTGGTTCCTCAGCGGCCCACGTCAGTCCCCAATGATATGGAGCTCAGCTCCCGCCGGTGCAACGTCATCACGTGCCTCACCAACGACGCCACCGGCAACAGTAACCGCAGCAACTTCAGCGGCCTCGGCTATTGGTGACGCCAGTGTCGCTGCCGCCGTTGCCGCTTCTACCGCCATGGCTGCGGCTAGTGCAAGTGCACGGAAAAAACGGCCACTGCCCCATATTGACATGCAGCCACTAAAGGATGCAGAGACGCTAGAGCCTGCGGTAAGCGAGGAGCGGGCGAAGCTACTCAAGGATGAGGCGGCGGTGCATAGTGTACTAGACAAAATTGAGGAGGCCCGCTACACCTACTTGGTCCCCTCGCAGGAACTTCGCTGTGAGGCGGAGGTGATGTCAGTCTTGCGGTGCTACATGGATAGTAGCGCCGTTGCAGGCAGCCGAGCCGCCTCGGCGGAGGCGTCGTCACCCACAGCACTTCCAGCGGTGGCAGGTGTGCTGCAGTGTGGGCCTGTTGTGGGGTTGCTGAAGCAGTGCGTTGAGGGCGTGGTTGCGTCGTATAGCGAATCTGATGGCGGCCGCCCATAGGCAGCTGTGGTGGTGGGGGGGGGGGGGCGCAAGAGGAAGGGTATGATCGTATGGATGCAGCGTAAAGGTGGGGTAGCAGGAGAAGCCGCACATAGTGTGAGGACACGAAACCTAAAAAGTGGGCGGGGCGGTGGAAAGAGAGAGGGAAAGGGAGAGAAAAACCGGGAGCGAGAAAGAGATGGCGAGTAGGAACGATGACGTCTCCTGCTGCGTCAGATGAATTTTTCTCGTTGCCAGGTTCCCTTCTTTTTTTTTAGTCTTCCTGCCGGCGTGGCTCTTCTTCTTTGATCTCTTTGCGCCTGCGGCGTTGATGAATATGCTGTGGATTAGGGCGGCCTATCCTTGTTGTTCTCTATGCTTTCGCCCGTTGTTTGAGGAGGCGGCGAACCCACCCACGTCATCCTCTACAGAGAGCGAGATACGTGTATATGCATTGCCTGTGCCTTTTCCTTCTTGTTTATATGTACATCTTCCCTTTTGGGCCAGTGTCTACTAGGAAATACGGACAGCTCGCTTGCGGTGTAGGTGCGAGGCGAGGTGGGCGGCAGGGGAGCACGTAAGTAAATACACTGGTGAGGAGCGAAGGCGAGAAGAAAGGAAGAAGAAGAGGTGGAGGAGGGCGAGGGGACGAAAGCGGGGGCACGAAGAGGAGAGACGATAAAAAAATGCGCAGGACCGCATCGCATGCGAAGATTGTGCAGCAGCATGAGCGTCGAAAGGCCTCCCGTGAGGCAAAAGCCTCGTCGGCGCGCTTCAGCTCCAAGCAGAGCCGGTTTCAACTCCGGCAGGAGGAGATGTACGCACAGGAGGCCCTGCAGCCTGTGACCGCGTCGCTGCTGCCGGCGAGCCGCCACTGTGGCGGTCGTCCTCCTGCAGAGACGACAAGTACCCAGTCACCGGCCACATTCAGTCGGTTTGAACGGCCGCTTGCCGCCGGGGAAGCGGGAAGTTCTGTTGGCACGACGGCAACGGCGACATTTGGGCTCGCACCCTCGCGGCGTGCCGGGATGCACGTGGCAGATTCCCGGAGCGCGCGCCGCGCGGCGAGATTTCGCCTCGAGGAAAACGGTCAGTCTTCCGCGTTGCCGTCGCTGGGCGAAGGACTACTTGGCGCCACCCGCCACGCGAGGGAGGAGGCCTCCACCGCCCCGGAGGCCGACAGCAGGGATGACAACGGTGAACCGCAGCGGAAGAAGACGCGGGAGGAGCGGTTTCGAGAGGTGCTTGCCAGCAGCAAAGAGCACCGTGCCCAGGCACAGCGGGAGCGTGAGGAGCGTGCGCAGCAAACGACTGCTCTTGACGCGGCATTCAGCGGAGTGATGCACCTGCTGGAGCGGAGGGACAAGACGCAAGAGGAGCGCGAGGCCTTTGCCCGTGCCGGAACTCCGCAGGTGCGGGCTCTGCTCCAGTCGTTTCGCGAGAACCACGTCGCAAAGGTGGTGTCGCTGCGCAGCGACGGCAGCTTCACCGTCGCCCCGCTTGCTAACCGCGGCACGGCAGTAAGCGAGATCGCCGCTGCGCCTGTTTTGGATGAGGCGAGCATTGCGCTGCTGCAGAAGGTCCGCGCCGAAGCGAATGCGCAGGAGCGGAGCGCACCGTCAGCCCTCCCTTTGAACCCTTTAAAGGATAAAGCGGTGACGGTAGGTGCTGAAAAGAGCAACCTCACTGGGGAGGGTGGCGGCGATGAGGATGACTTTGATCGCATGATGCACGCTATGCGGGGTGAGACGCGCCGCGCGCACGCCGGAGAGCGTACGCTGACAGCGGAGGAGGAGCAGGCGGTGCGCGACCAGCAGGCACTGCTGGAGACGGACCGTGGTGTCGTCCCGCTGCTTGCGCCTGACGCAGCGCAATTGACACGTGCAGAGTGGCTGAGCCGCGGTGGCGACCGCGCGTACCTGATGCAGGGCGGGAGCGATAACGAGGAGGAGGATGACACCGGCGAGGCGGAGGACGCCCTGGACATTTCCTCCGCCTACGACAGCGATGAGGCGCCGTCGATAGAGGAGGCGGTGCAGGAGACGGAAGAGGAGGACGACGAGGCGGGGGAGAAGCGTAGGGGCGCGGACGCCGCCGCCGGGGCGACTGGGTGCCTGGAGGAGTTCGTCTCCGCGATGGAGGCGCTCAGTCGTGAGGCGGACGGCGCACTCACCTCACGTGCCGCGCGAAGTCGCGCCTACCACGCCGTGCTGCGGCGCCTTCACCAGTATGCCCGCGAGCACGTGTGCACACCGCGCAAACGTTTCGCCTTCTTCTTATTGAGGTGCAGCGCAGTTTCCTGCGGCACGGCTCACTCGACCGTGCCGCGCTTCTGCTTCTGCACGCCACCTCCCGCATCTTCCCCATGACAGATTACCGTCACGAGGTGTCAACGCCCTTCCTCCTCTTTCTCTGCTCTGCGCTGGTGCAGATGCGACTGAAGACGCTGGCTCACGCGCAGGTGTATGCAGCGCTTTCGGGACTGCTGTGTGAGAGTGTCGTGGCCGGCGGCAAGTACTGTGCAGAGGCCATCATTGCCCCACTCAACCTCATCGCCCTCCAGGTGCCACGGTCGGTGTTGGAGCCAGTGCGGCTGCAGGGCCTCTGCGTGCCGTTTCCGCTAGTGGAATGCGGCGGGCCGGACGAAGTTCTGCTGCGCACTGGCACGGACACCCCTGGTGACGCAGACACCGAGGCGCCGCTGCAGGCAACCCTTTCTCTTCTCGAGACGGATGTGAGCCAGACCCGCATGGTGCGTTACGCCTATCGCCTGCTGTCGCTGCTGGCGGATGCCCTCCGCGGGGTCCCAGCCCTACCGTACTGCCTGACGGAACCCTTTTGCGCCCTGCACGAAAGGCTTGTGGCGACTGACGCGTGGCAGCCCTCGGCACACGTGCGCGGCGACCACGACGCGCTCCTCGCGAAGCTGACGCAACTCGCCGCCGAGGCACGCGACCGTCGCACACCGCTGACGATGCGCTCCTTCCGCCCACGCCCCATTCGTCAGTTTGAGCCACTGCTGCAGGAGGGCACGACAACGGCATTGAAGAATGAAGTGAGGGCGATGAAGCGGGAGATGCGAGAGGACCACAAGCGCGTCGTTCGTCACGTGCAGGCGGAGGCAAACGTCGGGCGGCGGCAGCGCGAGCGGGTGGCGGCGGCGGAGGAGGCGCAGCGCACGCAGAAGTACCGCGAGCTGATGGGGTCACTGCAGGCGCAGCAACATGTCATGAACACCGTGGACGGACTCCTCGACAAGGCACGGTCAAAGAAGCGGAAGAGCATCACCGGTCGCGCTGGCGGAGGCGCTGCGGAGGAGAATGCTGAAAACTAAGTCGCTGGTTTGTGTATGTGTGACTTGTGGACGCCAGGCTTTGGAGGAGACGTGAAGCAAGCGAGCATGAAGTTTAATTTCTCGCCTCCCTTTCTTTCGCTCTTTCCCTACTCCGAAGCTTCGTAGTTGAGGGAGCAAATGCTGTTCCCACTTCGCCACCAGCTGCGGACTGGAATTCGGGTGAGAAGCCAGCAGCAGCAGCGCAGCGCCGCCGGCCCCGTAGGACGAGGAAGAAAAGAGGAGGCGAGGGGCAGGAGTAGGAGGAGGGAATACAATGAGTGAAGCGAATAAGCAAGCAAAAAGGAAGGGAAAAAAAGTTGTTCATAAATGTGTTTTCGTGTAACTGTGATTGGAGCCGGTGGCTGGCGTCCAGCATGAGATGTGCGCGTGTGTGGGTGCCGCAAGATTCCTTCTGGGGTTTGCATGATTCCTTGTTTTTTTGGCGTTGTTTCTTCTCCTCCTCTTCCCTCGCATGGTCTACGTCTGGTACACACGCACATGACGCCCCTTAGCGGAACAGGCAGGAGGTGGGGGCGGGCAGATGCAGGAGGTGACGGTCTACGCGACGGCGATGCAGGCGGTCCGGCGCACAGCCGACGACTGCCGCCGGATGTTGGCACTGCTTGACGCCTTTGGTGTGGCCGTCTCTGTCGTGCTTGTCGACACACCTGAGCTGCGGACGTTTGTGCAGGAGCTGCTGGAGAAACAGGCGGCCATCGGGTGGCGGCGACAGCATGGCGTCGGCCTTGCCCCACCGTTTCAGCTACCGCTCTGCTTCGTTGGCCCGGTGTTGGTGGGCATCCAGGACGAGGTGGTGGAGCTCAACGAGACGGGCACGCTACCGCAGATGCTGCGCGCGGCTGGGTACAGCGGGAAGTTCCGGGCCACCGCCCACAATGACATACCAGTAGGCAGTGCAGCTGCACTCGCAGCAGAAGCAGCCGCCACGCCGCCGCCGCCTCCTTCTTTTCTTGGCGTTGCGGGAGGCACGAGCCTCAGCAGCAGTCATGCCCACGGCGAAGACGGCGCTGGGGAGGAGGAGGAGGCACCGCCGCCTTCCAACGAGGATGAGAAGGAGGACGGAAGCGACAGTGCCCTGGACAGCAGCGCCCTGGACGATGACGCGGACGACGACTTTGAGATTCTGGACAACGATGAGGAGGACGAGGATCCACCGCCACCACCACCCGACGAGGACGAGGACGAGGACGAGGACGAGGACGAGGACGGGGGGGACGACGAATTTTTACCGCCGTCGCCCCCGCCGGAGGACTGAGCGGCGCCATCGACACCCACCAACTCATGCATGCACGCAAATATCCTGCGGCCAAATGCAGCACAGGAACCTTTGATGCTATCACCAAGGGATACGAAAAAGAAAAAAAAAAGGAGACTAAAGAAGGCATTGTGTGATCTTCCTTTTTTCTTTTTCTTTTTTGCTTTCTTTCCTTATGTTTGTGTGGTTTGGCAATTCTATTTTTCAACCTGTGCTCCTTCCCGCGCTCCCCCATGGATGTTAATTCCGCCTTGTTTACCTCCCCTCGTTTGCTCACTGTCTTCCCCATTCCTAATAACACTTGCAACTCTCAATGTGGTCACGTTGTGACCGCATTTATGGTCACCCCTCGCGCGTTGCGTTAAGACGTGGAGAAGTAGAGCGGCGGGCTGAGGGGAAGGGAAGCTATTGCCTAACAGTTAAGGTCAGCAATGAACTCCACGACAGCGGTAGTGTCACAGGGCCAGCAGCAGCGGGAACAGCAGCAAAGATCCTTCTCCTTTGCGAACTTGTTTAAAGGGCGTGCTGGCGCCGCCACAATGGCGGGCGTTCTGGAAATTGCTTTTTTTCATCCCTTTGACACCGTCGCGAAGCGACTCATGACCAGCCGCACGCGTATTCAGGCCGCCTCACTCGAGGGCACGCTGCGGAATCTGAACACCACCATCTTCCTCTCAAAGGCGGACGCCAGCGTGGCGCAAAAGTTCTTGTACCTTTACCCCGGCTCGGCCTACGCCGTCTGCTACAAGATCCTGCAGCGAGTGTACAAGTTTGCTGGGCAGCCCTTGGTGCGGGACCACCTGTTCGCCCGCAACCAGCAAACCTTCACGACGCTCTTTGGCCGCCGCGACCGGCTGATGATAGAGTCCGTCTCCGGCTGCATTATTGGCCTTGGAGAGGTCCTTTTGCTGCCTCTGGACCGCCTGAAGGTACTGAGCCAGGCCAACGAGGCGGTCATGCGGCGCGGCGTGCTCCAGCTGTTGCGGCAGGAGGGCGTCCGTGGCATGTACGCCGGCACCGTCGTCACCATGGCGCGCAACGCTCCCGGTTCCTTCTGCCTCTTTGGCGGCACTGCCTTCACGAAGGACGTTGTCTTTGGCCTGGAAGACTACCGCCGGGCGACGCTGTTTCAGAACCTCTGCGCCTCCACGGTGGGCGCCTGCCTCAGCATCACGGTAACAAACCCCATGGACGTCATTAAAATTCGCGTCCAGAACAAGGACCCTGGCGCCCAGCTGAGCGCCGTCGCGGCTCTCTCGCAGCTGCTGCGGGAGGAGGGCGCGACGGCGCTCTTCAAGGGTCTCACCCCGAAGGTCATTGCCTCGGCCCCGAAGCTGATTTTTGCGTACAGCATGACTGAGTTTTTTATGCAGCTCATGAACGCCAAAAAGGCGGTGGCAAAGCCCTCGTAGCGGCGCGCCCCACCTCTCCCTGCAGCCACGCCCCAACGCAGACGGGGGGAGACTTTCTTTCCGGGTCTTCTGGGGGGTGGAGGAGGCGGCGTAAGGGGCAGGTAGGCAACAGCAACACACCAGCGATACGGGCCCGGGGTCCAGAGCTGTTGCACGCACACGAAAATCAATAAAAAAAGGAAATATATAAAAATGGAAAGAAGAGCAAACAAACCATGAGGGCTTCGTGGGAGCGGCGGGCCTCCCAGGTGGAGCACGCGTGCGTGTGTTGCTTTGTCAGCAGTAAACGACAACAAGAGGAAGCTTAAAAAGGACGGAAGGATAGTGTGTAGCAGGAGGTGAAAATATAGGAGCTATCACGCATACAACACCCATATGGTTTTTAAAGGTTTTCTTACAAATACGATGGTGGACTTGCGGCTTGCAGAGGCGGCTGCGGTGGAGGGCAGCGGTTTTTGTTGGGGGCAAAGGGACGGCGAAGCGCAAAAAAAAAAACATATTTCACAGTAGCAGGAGGATAGAAATTATGGCGCTGGAAGACGGAGAAGAAAAGTAATTTTTGTGGTTTCCTGTTGGCGCGCCGGTCTGCTTTCTCTTCTCTGTTGTTGTGCTGTGCGGGTACTTCTGCTGCTTTTTCTGTCCTCGACGGTTGTTTTTTTTTTATCCTTTTTGTGCGTGTTCTGCAGCTTACCAGCCGCGGCCTCACGAGGCGGGCGATTCCCTGTTAGTTTTGTTGCTTTTGTTTTTGGTTGTTATTATTAGTTTTTCCCTTCCCTCCTTTTCACCGCAGCAGCGACCTCCGCTCCGGCTGCCACACACACACGTGTGGGCTTGTTGTGACGTTTCAATTGCTGACTGGCGCAGAGGAGACGGCGCGCGGGCGGGGGAAGGGGGGTGATGGC